GGCTGAAATCTATTTCGATCGTATACAATAGAGCAATCTACGCTAAATGCCCATGCAACCTAAATTCCTTTTTTATCCATTTTTAAAAAATTACAAAACATACCCACTTCGGTCAAACTTATTACCAGTCCATCAGAACTCTAGTCCTTAAGTCACAAAAGACTCTTAAAGCCAAACTGACAACCTTTCCTAGTTATTCTTTGGTTAATCAACCAAAAACAAAGTAATTTTCTTTAAATTCTAGTTTTTTTTGCAAGATTGTTGGTTCTAGAAATAACTAAATTTTTTTTTTAGTTTCTCTCCCTCTTTCTTTCGGTTTTAGTATTAATTCAGTATTGAATTAGATGCTAATTTATTTAATATTTGAATTAGCTGAACACATAATTCAATTATGGCAATTTTCAAACTAAAAGAAAAAAGAATTTAAACTCCATGTGTATAAATTTAAAATTTCATATATGAATTTTCATGTGTGTTTTGAAGTGTTTTATTGTTGGAATTTAGTGGATATTATTTTATGATGTGTAGATTGTAGTGTTAATGATGATATTTGGAGATTTAACTGTGATAAAAAATTAATCTGCCATTGGAGGACCTTGAAGATTGAAACTCATAAATTGAGTTTGTTCGGTTTGTAGTTATTTTGATCCGATTCTGACTCGGGTATGTTCAAAATATTAATTGGAGGATGTGGCTATATTCTGAGTCAATTTGGTGGAGATTTTAGAGTAGATTTTGTAAATTTGGATTGAAATAACAAAGAAGATAGATTTGTCTTGTATACCAAAATGTTATATTGTATATTGTATTGGTATACAATAATTAATTCAAGAGTATATAATTAATTACAACATTATACTACTAATATTTTTTGAAGGAATGAGCCAATCCTCTATATACCAAAATAACATACTATATACCATTTTGATATATAATATTTAATTCAATAATGTATAATTTATTGCGTAGAACTAGCGAAGAAGAATTTGTATTATATATCAAAATGATATGCTATACCATTTTAGTATACAATTCATTCCAACGATATACTGTTACAGTATACTATTGCAATTTGGTCCTTTTAGAATTTTTTTAAATTTTCATTGAGTTCTTTTTCAAAATTTCAATGGAGTTCTCACATTTTTTCAATTTTTTTCTTAAACCAAAATCTTTTAGTTTAAAATATTTGATTGGAGGTTTGTGGCTAAAGTTTGAGTAAGTTTGGTGGAGATTTTAGAGTAAAGTTTTAAATTTTGGGTTGAAATTGAGTTGAAATAGCAAAGAAGATACATTTGTACCGTATATCAAAATGTTATATTGTATACTGTATTGGTATACAATAATTAATTCAAGAGTATATAATTAATTACAATAGCATACTACTAATAATTTTTGAAGGAATGAACCTATATACCAGAATAACATACTATATATTATTTTAGTATATAATATTTAATTTAATAGTGTATAATTTATTGTGTTTAACTGTCGAAAAAGAATTTGTATTGTATACCAAAATAATATACTATATACCATTTTGGCATATAGTTCATTCCAACAATATAATGTTATACTATTCTATATAATGTAACAATATATCATTATAATTTGGTCCTTTTAGAATTGTTTGTAATTCTCATTGAGTTCTTTTTCAAATTTTTAACGGAGTTTTCATGTTGTTTCATTTTTTTCTTAAACCACAATATTTCGTCTGAAATATTTGATTTGAGGTGGCTAAAGTTTTCAGTTTGATGGAAATTCTGGAGTAAACTTTTGAAATTCAAATTGAAATTGAGTTGAACTAGTGAAGAAGACTAATTTGAACTACTTATATATCAAAATAACATATTATATACCATTTTTGGTATATAATATTTAATTCAATAGTGTATAATTTATTGCATAATATACTATTACAGTATGTGATATAATGTAACAATACAGTTAAATTTGTTTTTTTTTAAAAAAATTCAAAAATAATTCAATGGGTCCTTTTTTAATTTTCTAATAGAGTTCTCGATATCATATAACTTGTCACTATGATATACAACATGTGGGCATCATAATATACCCCAATTGCTACTAATATATTATTTGATATACTATACGCTAAAATAAGTTATTTTCTAATAATTAGTATATAAAAAACAAAAATATATTTAAAAAAAGGAGACAAAAATGTGTACATAATTAGATTATGGAAAATGGAAATAAAAAAATAATTTGAAATAATAATAAATAAAATTAAAAAAGAAAAAAAATGAAAGCAAAAAAGAGAAGAGAAAACAATTATAATGTATAAGTTATTCTAATAATTAAATTAAAAAAACAAAATAAGAAATAAAAGATAAAATATATATTATACTAGTTATATTACAAAAAAATTGAACAAATATTTATTATATCAGTTATCTTTTCTTATTGTATAAACAAAGAAGAAATAAAAAAAACAAAAACAGTAAATAAAATTAGATTATGAAGAGAAAAAAAAGGAGTTAAATAAAATTAGAATATGAACAAGAAATAAAGAAAATAAACAGAAAGAAAAAAAGAAAAAGAAAAGAAAAATAAAGGAGTCAAAATTGAGTGTGAAATTAAATTATGATAAAAATAATAATAATGGGACAAAAAATAAATGAACCAAAAAGGGGGGGGGGGGGGGGGGGAAGAAAAAAAACGAAAAAAAGAAAAGGAGAAAAAGAGAAAATTACCTACAAAAGTTGTCATGGGTAGAAAGGTAATTAATTTGATTGATAAAAAAGTAAATGTGTAGGCGATATATAGTTTTGTCTTTACGTGTAATTGTGTCGTTCACCCTTTAATATATTAGGGAAACTACACAATACTTCCTCAACCTTTATTATTGGGAAAACTACATAATATAGTTGCTGCCAAAAAAGAAAATAAAATAATATATATANGTGTGTGTGAGAGAGAGAGACTAGCAGATATAATTATTTTTAATTGACCGGTCAAATGTGTAACTTGTCCGTTATTATTCAAGATCTAGGACTTTTATGATTAAAAGAGAATATACATATTTTGTGGTAAGTTGACCTTTTATTTTCATTTGATACTATATAGTTTATCAATCATGAAAAAAAAGAAGTAAAAAGGCTTGTAAAGGCAAATCGACGAAATGATTATTTAAGGTGGTTTACCTTTCGGTTTGCAAACACGAGATATTATCACGGGCAAGTGTACATGTTTGTTCTTTACTGAAAATGCCAATTCATATCTCTCTTCCTCCTCCCTCGCTCCTTTTGTCATTATGTTTAGTTGGTACCTTTTTCTTTGGTCCAACTTTATATAATCACTACTAAGGAACTTAAAGAAACGACGATTTCAAATTTAATACAGATGAATGCTTACTTAGCTCGTGTACCTACGAGGAATCATATACTTATTTACCTAAACTTTCACTTTATCGATACACGTTTATTTTTCTAAATATAATCAATATCAACGACAACGACAACGAAAACACGTATGTATTCAGCCTTATTCTTATCTTGCGAAGGTAAATAGGTTATTTCTCCAAATATAATCCTCTCTTCATTTTTCTTTACCTTCCGACAAGGGGTGTAGAATAATTGTAATCCTTCCATCTTAATTAGAGGTATCAAATTTGAGCTCTAGAGAGAATTTGTTGGTAAGGAGTATTTTACGCTCTTAGTAGGCCTACTCTCTGCAAATTAATATTAATCGGATCAATTGATTTTGGATACCGGGTAGTTAGAGGAAAAAAAGATATTCCCAATTGGAAGATATTTACCAGTGGGAAAATCTAAAAAGTTAAAAGGAAGCTAGCTCTTCTTGATCTCTGTCTCGGTAAAAAGAACGTGTTATCTTTACAATTTTAAAATTAAGATGTCCTTTTTAGATTTTTTTTATGTATAAAAAATAAATTTCTTATGTCTAAAACTAAATTTCTTATGTGTAAAAAAAATGTATGGTCGTAAAACTAAAAACATGTTTGTAAAGAACCACAAAATCATTTGTTCGGTAAAAGAATAGCGTACAAATATTAATTATTAAAAAAAATCTAAGAAACTGCTTTGTGGTGGGTCAATCAATTTTCAAATGAAAATGATGCATGTGTTAAAGAAATAGTGAAAGATCATTATGATTCAAGAGCATGCATAAAAAGATGAGAAATCATGACTTATCAATGAGATAATTTATAAAGCAGTATGTGAAAAAGAGGGAAAAAAAGGGTTTCAAGACTGCTACATTAACTTTACTCATACTTTCATATTATGTTGCCTTAGGACTGCAGCTCAGTGCACAAGTCATTTTTATGCTCGGTTTCGGAAATGGATGTATTCTAAGAGATGCAATATAGACACTCTATTCTAATAGAAATAATATTAATTGATTCCACGGTTCGAATCATGATGTCCTTTAGACTTGTCAATATCTAAAAGCGTAAATTAAATATTATGTTTTCAAATTTTTTTTTCTTTCTCAGTAGTCATTATCTCCTTGAATGATTACAGGTTGTATTTAGACAGCTTAGGAGACTGAAATTGAATAGAAACAAAACCAACCACCTCACCCCACCCCCCACCAAAAATAACCACTTCCCAACTAGTATCAGACACATAGTGGAATCTGGACATCATTTGCAGTGTTGCAGTCTGCAAAGAATGTTTTTCCCCTTAGAAAATTCAGTATGCATTGCACTATACCTACACTTTTGTCATTAAATTCACCTCCAAATTAGTTTATATATGGTCGCCAAATAAAATAAAAATTAGCTCTAAATTTCACGTCAGAACAAAATAAAAAAATACCACCAAGATTGCACTACGACTAGGCTTTAATCATTAACTTCACTTCAAAATCACAAAGTCAGATGATGTAAGCAAACAAGCTCTAAAATCATACACTAATTAAATAAAGAAAATAAGTCATTTCTTTTTAATACAATCAAAATGGAAAGGGGGGATGAAACAAAATTTACTCTTGTAAATGGTTCACCTGTTGGATTGGCAGCTTCAAACTAAAGGGAGTACTTGTGAAGAGCTTGAAGGACAGTGTTGTACATGATGTTGATCGAGTTGTACTTCTTTGTTCTTAGGGAAAATGAGTGTGATAAATGGACCATTTTCCTCATCTTTGGACAACTTTGAACTTGAAGAAACTTCAAGATTTTCAACTTGAAATGACACATTTTCCTCCACAAATCTTCTACAAAATTTGTCTTCAGCATCTCTCAAGAATTTGAATGTTGGAGGAGGTGAATTAGACCTTATAAACTTATTAAACTCAGCATCACTTACTGATTCAAGAAAAGGATTGAATCCATTTTTGTGTATCATAGGACTTAAAGGAGGAGTAAAATAAGTTGGTGAAGTAAGTGGAGTTAAAAAAGGAGTTTCCACATTTAGACATAAATCACTTAAACTCCTAGTTCTTGATCCTTTCCTACTCTTATCACCTTTGGATTTTCCATCTTCAGATTCCAAATCTTCTTTAGTTTCCTCTTTGATAGTAAATAAAAATCTTGGTGGCCCACAAAGTCCTATAAATTCATTTTCCATGTTATCATCTCCAAAGGGTTTGAACCAAAAATCAGTCGCCTCCTCGACCGGTTGACCTCTCCACTGACTATTTGACTCTACATTGGATTGAACTTGGATTGTTGGTTCATGGACTAGTTGTGTATCATTGGCACAAATTTCTTGGGATTTTAAGGCAATATTGGAATTTAAAGAAGTTGAGGGCTTAACACAAAACATACAAAAGAACTCTTTGGCTTTATTGCTACTATAACCATCTTCAAGACTTGTTTTAACAATCCTATTTTTCCACCATAATAAGTAGTAGAGCTCAGCAATAAGAGCTAATAAAAGACAACCAAATACCAAACTTAAAGCAAGTCCTACACTGCTCAAAGATTTCATCTTTACATTTATCTAACCAATAAAAAACTAAATATCCAAACCTTTCACCTTAGAATTGCCTCAGATTCTTGGAACTGAGAGAAGATCTTTGCTTTCAATTGTTTCAAGAAGAGAAGAACTCTGATATTTTCAGCAACTTTTCTTTGAACTTTATCTGAAGTTGAAGCTGTAGAGAAAACATAGAACAAGTTTCAAACCAACCATAAAAAGAAAAGGACTAAAGCAAGAAAAGAGATGCCTTTTTGCTTATAAATCAACTTATTGAATGATGATACTTGTTATAGAGGAAAACAGAACTAGCTTTATTACTAAAATACCCATGGAATCTAAGTAAGCAGATGTGGACACAAATCTGATTTGGGTTTTGTGGGGGTTATTAAACTGGTTTGTATGTGAAGGTAAATTTTTAACTAAAGAACAATACATGTCACTGTTACAATGAGGGCCCCCTCCCCTTTTTTTTAGTGATAGTTTCGTGAAAGAGATTTATATGTTAGCAGAAAATATTGAGATTTTTAAATACATATTTTTTATTAATTGAAAATATATTTTAGTATTGTTAATACATTTAGTTTAAGTCCTATGTTTTAACGAGTCACTAAATTTTGTTAGCTATTTATATGCTATTTGAAAATATAGAGAAATTCTAGTATTTTTTATTTTTATTTTTTTAATATTGGTTTAAGATGTGCTTAAATAAAGTGATATGGTCACTATTGATTTATATAGCCAACCTCAATTTACTTGAAATTCAATCATAGTTGTTATTAAATTATGGTACTGTTTGAACTAGTTTAATTTGCAGATACTTAGACTATTTTATCAAGTACCGATTGTTTCTACCGACATGAGTATTAAGTAACTCTTCTCCTCAAATCTTAAATAGATTAAAAGAGATTACTTAATATTATCAGCTTTTATTAGAATATAAATTTTTATCCCCCATAATTTTTATTTATCCTAATCTCATACCATTGTGAACAATGAGGGTCTTTGCTGATAGTGAGGGGTGGAGATAGCATAGGGAAAAAGTAGGTAAAAACCATTGTCTAGTTTTTATATTATACTTTATAATAATTAGGTCACATATCTCTAGAAATGTTCACATGGGATCGCTTAGAAAGGTACATTTCTTTCATCAATAGTCTCCCTCTTCCCCTTTCTTTTTAGCATTTCTTTACCCTTTCCTTTTCTTATTTTTTCCTTTTCCTTTCTTTATTTTAATTATTTTATTTACATAGTGTTTGGAAAAATAATGGGACTTAAGTTGTAGGTAAGAATACAAGGTTTTTTGACAAATGTTCAACTTGTATTGCATATAATATATACTTGAAAGCTAAAAAATGGATGATAAAGAGTGAAGTGGGGTGCAAGGTTTGCTTTACAAGAATGGACATGTCTGAATATGAGAGGATAGTTTTATTAATTCAAAAAAATTAAATTTTAGCGACGGACAAATATTGTACTATTTCATCACTAGTTAGTTGATGACATCGGTCGCTAAAAATTAAGCACTAATACTAGCTTTTTTTTCTTTTCTTTTTATAACAATATTTTTTTCGTTTCAATTTGTTTGTCACTTTTTTCTATTTTTGTCTATTTCAGTTAGCTTCTTTATATTTATATTTTGCCTTTACTATGGACCCAAATGATAAAGCTACAAAGTATTTTGGCACAAAGGGTATATTTGGTACTTAATGCATATTTATCACTTGCGTCAAAAAATTTCTTTCTAAAATTAATCCTCGTATCTAGTCAAATACTATCAAATAAATTAGACTGTATGTATTATGTCAAATAAATTTCTGTTGTATGTACTATGTAGCCTTTCCAAGTTTATAAATAACCTAAAAAAAATTGGATCCAACCTCAATTCTGTATACAATATACATTTCTTTTGTAACTTATAGTATTTTATTCAAGTTCTCGTATATATCTTACTTACCTTTTGAGTAGAATGATATAGGGAATTTAATGCATTTTAGCATTTATCATAGTTTCTACAAGTTTTAAAAGACTCTACATTAATTTATGGAAAAAATATATAACGTGGTCTACGAGAAGTTGACTCCTTGAATATGTTTATTATAATTAACTAGTCAAAGAAGTAAATCTCGTAGGCTTCTTGATTTCTGTATTAATTTGTGTAACTCCAGTTATCATTTGAGATTACAATGGGTTCGTTTACTATTTTTCTTTTTGTTAATTTTTTTTAAATGTTACTTTTACGTACTGTAAGAAATTTCTTGTATTAACCCTATGTTTCGAATACAAATTAATTCAATGAAACAGTAAAATCAAATAGTGTTAACATGTAGAGTTTCAACAGCTATTGCATTCACGTCTACTACTTTTGGCTTGAAATAAATATATAGATAAATCGGTGATACTTTGCTCCCATAGTAATTTAAAATCTTTGCGGTAGCACCAAGGAGATTCAAAAAGTAAAGTATACATAAAATTCAACATTTTATATATATATAAAAAAAAATTGACATTATATATACAATGTAATTCTGAAAGACCCCTTTATTTATTTCTAACTTATTGTTATTGTTGTTGTGAGAACAAACAAGATACTTTTGGTAGGGGCTGTTAATTATTCGAGAAGTTGAACCATTTATAACTCTCATTAAAATGGGGCATATGATCCAGCTGTTTCTTTCTTATTTCTACCTTCTTTTGCTTTCATAAGCATGTCATTTACTCATTTGGCTTATTTACATATTACAATGGAGTTGTCTTGTGAGCATTTCACGTGCACTGAGCTTTCACTACCAACAGTTTTATGCTTCTTTTTAGACTCAGTTTTGGACTATTCAGTACCCTAAAATGGTCATATCTCGATCAGGATAAAAACTACTGTAATTAATATCATGCTCTCGGATTTAAGAGGTGTCTTTTGCTAATATCTCATAGTCTATCTTCTATTTATAATCGCAGGCTTGGCGCAATTGGTAAAATTGCAGCTGTGTGCCCAAGAAGGCACGAGTTCGAGCGTGGAAACAGCCTCTTGCAGAAATTTAGGGTAAGGTTGTCTACAATAATCTCTTGTGATCCGGCCGCACCCCGCGCATAGCGAGAGATTAGTGCCACCGAAATGCCCTTTTTATTTTCTATTTTGCGTCACTAGTTTATGTTTTTCTTAATCGCCACCTCTACCTTTTCTTCGTGTTTATCTTCAGATTGGATTGCCTGACTTCCTTCAAACCTTACTTGAAAGGCTTGCTTTCTTAAAAAGTACGACAGAGCCAGAATTTAAAGTTTATAAGTTTAAGATCCCGGTGAATTCTATTAAATCAATCCTTTGGATTCATAATAGTTTGATTATTTTTAGGATGACTTTTGACCTATTGCAATAGTCCTTTTTCTTATCCGAAATTAGGACCGGCTATGCTCTGTCACAGGCGAGCGCACATTGTACGAAGAGGGGTCTCTAGCATCCGAAAATTTCGGCAAAAACATCATATATATATATATACTTGCAAATACCTTCAAGAAATAGTCAGACATTAACAGAGGTTTCGTACTAATCTTTATAAGTTGTGATAAATTTATATTGAATATCATGGTGTTTCGTGCACGCTAAATCTTGGGTCCACCTTTGTCCTCTTATTTAAAACCTAAAAATTGAGCCTCTTCAATCTAAACAATTTAATCAATCTTCAATGTAATTAGGGAACAGCATTATTCTGCAAGTTGCCTTATAGATGTATTCCAAAGTGTTGAACTGATTGAAGTCAATTAAAGGAAAGAGTGTACGTGGAAGAATCCAAAGATTTGACAAAGGATAATTGGGAACAAGTGGGCCTTTATTGCTGTCAGTCATATCACTGACTTGGCCCACGTAGGCCCAAGTTTCTTCAAATGGGAAATTTGTTGGCAAAAAGTGGGCCTTTAGTGTAGTCAGTCTTATTAATAACAAAAGGGATCATTACAACATATAGTCAATCAAATTTATTGTTTAATTTTTTAGCCATATAGATTATATACTAGTTATACATGGTTATACAAATATTATATATAAATTATACATATATTATACATCTACCTGTTATTTTTAGTTTAAGCAATTGGACATGCGGCTATACATGTACTAACTATGGGCTTGTCATTTGGGCCAGGAGTAACCTTGAAAAGGCCCATAGCTTCAAATGACTCCGGAAATACATACTTTAGGAAAAATGATATTGTATAGCTGCTCTTAAAATAATAGTTGAAAAAATATATACATAAGTTATATGCAAAAATTATACAGATTTTATACACTTTTTTTGCTATCGAATGTAAATAGTTTCTGTCGCAGTCTAAAAATGATAATACGCATGCAATTGATTCAGCTTCCGCCAATGAGAAAACAGAGCTCCATTAATTAGTTAATCTCCTACAGTCAATTGCAAATTATTTGTACTGTAAGACCTTTTTTTATGTTACTCCTTAGATCATGCTCCTATTTGGGCTAAACTTCATGTTTAAAAGTAGTTAGACAAATTTTGCCCGGTAGCTAAACAGGAGTTAATCTAGCCACAACTAGTTTGTCTTAACTCTTCTGTTTTTTCAGTATTTCTTTGAACATATTCAAATAAATTTTATAAATTTGCTATAAAAGAATTACGGGAGAACTCTTAAACTATAGGGAAACTTACACAAATGTCCCAAATAAGTCTCAACTTACCAACCTCTAGTCATTAGTCATAGACTTACCAAAACTAGCCAAGCACATATAAAAATTGAAAAACCAAATAAATAAGGTTCTTTCTCTCAAAGAATCATATGCAAAAATCTCCTTCCATATTTTTAAATGTGATTAGTAACATTAGATGCAAGACGAAAAGGAAATTCCATGGATGAGGTAGCAAATAAGGTGATGAAATACAAAAAAAATATAATATTCCAAAAATCTAAGCAAAAAAGGAACTTTTTCAATGGGTATAGTTGAAATTCATTGAAAACATATAGATAAGTCAATATACAAAATTTGAGGAAGATTGGAGGTGATT